TAAACAGGGTAAAAGTATAGTTTCTTTTAGTCTTTATCTTATGAATTAGTCCATCATAGGGAACCCGAAAGGAGTGTCGTGGGGTGCTAACACCTTCCCCGCACGTAACTAACTCCCTTACCCAACTCTGGTTGTAATGGCCAAAGTTAGTTTTTCTAAACCAACGCCTTCTTTTTCCTTTTTCGATGTTTATGGTAAAAACATCGGTGGCGACTCCATAGAATCCTTTACAAAAACCTCGCTTTTAGGTTCAACCCGGTTATCGAACAGCCTAAAAACATTGACCACTTTTTACGAAAACGCGAGTCATCAAAACTATTGTGTCGCTCCGACCGCCTCTTTTGATGGTGGCAACAAATACAAGGTATCCCCACCTATTCCAGTACTTTACAGTAGGAGTGTCAAAATAGAGTTAGCCTGATAGGCCAACACGAAAGGTCCGAGAAATAGGTCAGGTTAGGTCAAAAAATTTATGTGCATATTTGTATTTGAGTTGCGTAAAGCATAATTGTTTAAGTTTTTGTAACTTTAATTGAATAGACATTTATAGTACTCTTATATAAAGATAAATGTGCATATTTATTTTAATTGCTATATTAATTATTATAACAATAGTAATAGACATTTTTATTACTTGTTATACAAATAAAGATGTGCATATTTATTTTAATAATTATATTATTCATTATAACGATAATAATATAGTATTTAGAGCATTTTTAATTGGATTTATTCATTAATAGAATATTAATTGTTTGAAGTATTTTTTATCATATAAGTATTTAGAAAAATTTCATTACTTCACTAAATAACTTAAAAAATAAATAAAAAAGAAAATAAACTTTTTAAAATTTCTTGAAGAACTTTTTTTATTAAAGCAAAATCGTTTCACTACAAGAAAAACAACAAATAGTGACAAAAAATTCGGTCACTAAATGACCAAAATCGGTCACTAACAAAAATAATGATCGAAATAGTGACCAACTCAAATCGGTCACACTTTTCTTGGTTGCTAATTTCGATGACTGAATCAATTACCGATTCAATGGCTGAATCAGTGGCTGAATCCGTAACCAATTCAATGACCGAACGAGTGACCGATTCAGTGACTGAATCATTGACCCATTCAGTGACCGAATCAATTACCGATTCAGTGACCGATTTAGTGACCGATTCTATGATTGAATCAGTTATCGATTTTATGATCGATTATATGACCGAATCGGTCACTATATCGGTCACTAATTTTATTTTATTTTTTATATTAATTTTAAAATAACAATAAACTTGATTAAGGAATATGAAACACATTATATGTTGTATTAAATATATCAAAATTACACTACCTGAGATAACCATCAAAATAATACCACAAATTTTGTTCCAAATAAAATCATCATTCATGGATTAAATACTCTTTTGCATATTGAAAATTCAATCTAAAAGTAAGTAGAATAAACTAAAATAAGAGTCATAATTCCGGAGATGTTAGAAATTAACAAAATAAATACAATATGTAAATAGAAGTATTAGTTCACAATTCAAGAGGTTGAACATCCATCTTCTCCATCAAGAGGAGCAACATTTTATCATTTTTCTAAATTTTTCTCTCATTAGGTAACATTCTTTCACAGAGATCATCCCTTTCAGTCTCAACTTCCTGTAACTTGTGTTTTAATTGTTGAATCTCCTCTCTCATAAGCTGGACAGATGATGAAGTAGAGTTGTGACAAAGATTTTTCCCAATTGTTTTGCTTTATTCAGATCCAAGCCCATATACTTTGCCATTGTTTATTCCAGCAACTTTACATCAAACCTGTAATTCATTAGGTGGAGAGCCTCCTACAATAGACTCTGATTGGGAGGCTTCTTCCCATGCACAACTAAACTCTTCCTATAAACATTGAAATAGAATAGTAGTTAATTGGATAAAAACATAAAAAGGATAGAATTGTTTAAGAAATTAACATATGAAGAAAAATAAGGAACTTACATCCACATGTGTTGATCTTTGATCCACCCATGTGTTATCCTTTTGTTGGTGTGTTTTGCAAAACAACTCTGATGGGGTAGGGGGTTTTCCATTCAACTTTGTCTAAAATATGGTTAAAAACACAAACTTAGAATTGCAATATCTACCATAAAAGAAAAGAAGTTTGTTAAGTCATGACAATATGTAATGTAATAACTATTTTTCTCTTCCAACATAAACAACACCATGCAATCAAATTTGAACTAACTAATGTTACATTCTTTCCACACCTAAATGTATTCCAAGGGTTCCATAATTCACATATACATTATAGGTTCAAAATTACAACATATAGGACCAATACATGCATAAACCTGTATAAAGCAAACTTTACCAAATTTTCTCATGTTAAGAAGTGCTAATGGAGCCAGCAATATGAAGTGAAATTCCAAGTCCACCACAATGAGAAGCTCGATTTGCTTTTGCAGTCAAACTTTTTACTTTGAATTATTTTGATCCCCAATGTTAGCATAAGATATCCCATACATCTTCTGCAAGCCAATTTGGCTTCTTCATTATCATGCGTGCCTTGTTTAGTGAACTTTTCAATATGTTGGCACCTCGCATTTCAAAGTTCCTTCTAGCCAACCTATGATCAGGTGGGATAATAGTATATTTTCTTTGTACCCAAACAAAATAAGTAAATGTTACAGTACATTCAATAATTAGAACTTATTTTAAAGTTAAGAACTAATATAAATACATACCATGAACTCACTAAACCACATGTCTCGAATAACTTCAGGTACCTTTTTCCATGATGGCCACGCATTAGTGTAATGTTTTTTGAAAATATCACCAAGGGCATTAGCTGCAAAGTATGAAGGCAAAAATCTACAACAAACAAAAATAAAGTGATAAATTACAAGTTGTACATAGAATATGAACAAAATATAACATTGTTAAAATTTAAGTGATTTACCCATATCCATCAAGTGTTAAAATGGGTTTATCACAACTGCTCTGAACATCTGATACATTGTGATCATCATGAGAAACAAATGTGTCTTCAGTTTGAGGGTTAGATACTTAAAGACTTTGTTCGAAAGGTGTCTCATGTAGTGATTGTGCTCCTAATGGTGGAGAAGTAAATGGAAGAGATTTAGAACTTCCTCCATGTGGTGGAGTACGACCAATGTGTGGTCCAACAGAAGGGACTTCAAGAGACTTATTTTGTACTGAAGGGGTAGAACTAACATGTTCTGCAATAGTTGCAGCTAATGGATATCCAACTTGTGGTCCAATTATGTTATTTCTTGGTAATCAATTAAATTGATGCTTCATCAAACGACTTTTTAAAATAAGCTTGGTTTTTCTTTTGTTTGACATCTACACATGTAACAAAAAACAACAAAAATGTGTAAGCAAATTGCATATATTTAATAAGTAATGAATTAAACAATAACATATTTACTGAATGTTTGAAACAACAACAAAATAATTTGATGGGAACATTATTAAGTGTGCTTATAATTATTAAAGACTCACCCGAAATGAAAATACAAAAATCATTCATCATCATCATTATAATCATCATCAGCAGCATTAACATCACTTTCTTCATCAAATTTATGAGTCATCAGCATTCTAATCATCATCATCAGAGTTGTAATCATCATCAAATTCACTTTCCTTATCATACTCTTTTTCATTGCTTTCTGCATCTTCCACATTATATTCATTATGTTCATTTTCATCAAGTAATTCATTCTCTACTAGCTCTTCATGTTCACCTTCATCATCTCTTGATTGACCAAGTACTTCATCATTTGACACAAGTTGAGTATTAGAAAGACCACGTTGATAGGCAACCTCTAGTGTATATTGATCATCAACCATACTTTTTGGTTTGGTTTTAATTACAACCCACCAATCTACCTTTTCCTTAACCTTTTGAGGATAAGGCATATAATATATTGAATTGCATTTGATGCAAGTATGAAAGGATCATAATTCAAATACCTTCTATGATGATGAACCTCTACTATACCATATTCTTTGTGAACTCGTACACCATGATTCCTTTTAGAATCAAACCATTGGCAAGATGAACTTGAACATCTTCAGAATCTAAAGAGTTCTTATTTTTTCATTTACTACATGGACATCTAATTTTTCCATTTGACATGTTTGCATGTTGAAGAGCAAATGACACAAATTCAATCACACCATTTAAAAATGCATCTGTATACCCCTTTCGACCAGGTACAAGTCTATTATACATCCAACTACGATTTTTACGAATATTTATGTTTTGTCATATGCCAACAAATGACTTATTTTAATAAATAATATACCATATAATTATCCACAACATAATTACATTAAAAACTCTAACAATAAATTTATTGGCCTTGCTAGAAGTTATACCTCTGCCACCAATATTGCCCAATAGTACGAAGATATTGCTATTGAAGTTTCCAAATTGCAGCCCAACAAGAAAAATTGCCTATATGATAAAAAAAAAACACAAATACAAAACCATAATAGTTAATGATGGATGATAAATGACTACTATATTGCTAACCAAAAAATAAGTCAACATTATATAAACACAAATCTGTCACTAAAATTACATAATAACAAAGATAAGAAATTCAAGTAATCCATAAATTCCTTAACAAACTCACAATGACTGATTAAACCAATCACCTCACATCACCAAGTTTAGGGAAATTTTTCACATGTTCTTGATGCATGTTGATAGACGTGGCTAACAAAGTTAGATAACAAGGATGCTAGAATTAACTTGATTTATTCTTAAGTCCTTTACATAACCCATCATGTGTATTAATTGGAACATGTAAAAAAAAAATAGTTTATGCATACACTACTAAAGAAAATAAAATTAAATAAAGAGGTGATCCATATAAGATAGAAAATGACAAGAATTATAAACAAAATAGATGGGTTTGTCATGTACCCAAGAAGCACACCTCAAGTACACGCTCCTCTTCAAATTTTCATCATGGCTGCATCAAAATTTGTTTTTCAACCATTTCTTCCATTTTTTTTCTTTGAGGTTTTCCATTCATCCATGCATCTTAAATCATGTTTATTATTGCAGATGTGGCCAGACCTTATTCAAAAAGCTAAAGATGGAGGAGGCCTTGATGTCATTCAGACTTATTTTTTTGGAATGGTCATGAACCTTCTCTTGAAAAGTAATGCAAATACATTTCCTTATGGCTCTTAGCAGTTCCATTCTTTCTCAAACCACAGTTCGAATTCTTGTTGTGAGAGATTTTCACATTTAGAATCCAACCTGATCAAAATTGCTTTTGAAAGCAAAAAATCTATTGATTTTTTTTTACTAATCAGAAAGTTAATAATGGACAATTCTAATTGGTGTTTTATACAATGTTAAAAATTCGCATTATTATTTCGAAGATAGGTTTGACTTGGTTAAGTTCGTGAAGCTAGTGCAGCAAGCAGGCCTCTATGTTCATCTCTGCATTGGTCCCTACGTATGTGCCGAATGGAACTTGGGGTAATGATTTCAATGATGTGAATGTACACCTCCTTTTGAGAAGGGAAAATCCTTTGGTTTAATGAAGGAAAATAATGATACTCAGGAATCACTCAAAGGTTACATGCTCTGTTTTTTGTTCAGGGGATTTCATGTCTGGCTCAAGTATGTTCCTGGAATTGCTTTCAGAACGGACAACGAACCGTTCAAGGTTGGTGTTTACATTTTGGAGCCTCACCAGTTATAACAATTGGCTTATTATTATTGGTTGATTAAGAATAGTTTAATGAATTATTGAATCATATGACCAACCGTACAATCTTTTGACATCATCATCTGTGTAGGATGCCATGCAAAAGTTCACAGCGAAAATTGTTAGCTTGATGAAAGAAGAGTTGTTTCAATCTCATGGTGGTCCAATGATCTGTTAGAATTAATTTAATTCATTCATTCTATTATGTGACTCATGTGAAATATAATGATGGGCTCAAATGTGATTTAATAAAATATAAGGACCTATTGATTATTATGTGAAGTAAAAAATAAAATAAAGATAAAATAAAATAAAAACTTATGGTAACCAACTTGATGGACGTTGGTTAATAAAAGGGAATTAGGGTTCTGTCTCCGGTCATAAGGTTTTTTTTTACGGTAAACCATCAAGAAAGCGTGAGAAGAGAAAGAAAGACAAAGAGATAGATTAAGAAAAGGAAATTGAAGAACGAAAAGATTAAAGAATAGATTCACATAGATCAAGGCTAGTCTTCTTACTATGATTCATGTATTGATGTATGTTATATTGTGAAAATCAATAATCTAAAGATCATGTAGAGTAATTTTCTATAATGAATTAAGAGCGTAAGAAAACTACAAATTAACTTAGATATAGTATTAGAGCAAGGTTATTAGATTTATGATTTTATTTTTATGAAAGTTTTTCCCAAGTTAAGATAAATCCTAATTATGAATTTAGAGATTTCTCAGTCTGATCAATATGAACCTAATTTATTCTCAATCGCTATTTTTCCCAAAATTAAATAAAAAGATAAGTCCTAATTTATGAATGAAGTGACAATCAATTTCAAATTGAAACGGTATACCCCTTTATATTACCAATTGGGAGCCTCTGCGTTATCGATTGACAAATTTTCCTGATTCCCAACGAATGTGTCTTCTTACGTGTTAATTTCATGGTTCGCTTTCCATGTAAAAATGCTCAAATTGGATCAAGAGAGTTTTTTGGGCTTGTTGTTTCTCAATTCATAAACTGTAAAGAGTTTTATGTAATTGTTTGAATCTAATTGAAAGTATCCTTTATTCAATTCTGAAGGCTCCATGAAATCGTACACGTATTGAACATTAATAGTTTTTATTTTATAATGTTCATATTTCATTATATGAATGTGAATGTTATTGTGGAGTGCAAAATGGAATACGGGAATGACCGGTGCAATTGATTTAAAATGCAATTGAATTATGAATGTGAATGTTAATGTGGAGGCAAAATGGGAATACCTAAATGGTCTCTTTTATAATTTTATTTTATTATATAAAGAATGAATTTTAATTTGCAATAATAATGTTATGTTTTGTTATTGCTAAATTAAAAATTAATAAAAAATGCTATAAATGGTTAATAGCAATTAAAGATGTTATTTATTTCAAATTAAGTATGATAAATTTTGTTAGTCACCAAAGTGGCCAAAATTTTAAGGTTATTTTGATTTCAAATTATTAATGATTTTATTTCAATTACCCATAGTATGAATGCTAAACTTATGAATAATTGATTTATGAGTTAATTGAAGTTCATTATTATAAGACATTTCAGGATCACCCAAAGGTTGATTAGTTGTTATTATAATTAATGAACATGAAAGTAGATACTTTAGTGTGCGTCACTAGTTTTATTTAAATACCCAAAGGTGTTAAGTGATTCTAGTTGATGCATATTTTAATTATCATTAATGTTATAAAATGATTAGCGTAATTATGTTTGTGTATTGGTGGATCTCCCAAAGGAGAACATTAGTATGCATAGAATGGTGATTTATGGTTGAATTTGTATTTATGTTTAATTTTATGACTCAAAGCATTAATATTAGGCATGTGTTAATTGCAGTACCTGTTTTTGTAGCTTTACATTCGCTTTCTTCGTCTGTTCCAGTCTTTAATGGATTAAATTTCTCTGACTAGAGTGAACAAATCCAATTTCACTTAGGTGTGTTGGATCTTGATTTGACTTTCCAAGTTAAAAAATTGGTTGTTATCACTGATGCTAGTAACAATGAAGAGAAAACTTATTATAGAGCTTGGGAAATATCAACAGACTTAGTCTTATGTTTATGTGAATGAGTATAGCAAGCAATATTAAGTCTGCTCTTCCTAAAACCGAGGATGTGAAAGAGTTTATGAAATTTGTGGAAGAGCACTCTCAAATTGCTGACAAATCTCTCACTGGGACATTGATGAGTACGTTGACCACCATGAAGTTTGATGGTTCTCGTAGTATGCATGAACACGTAATCAAAATGACAAATATCACAGCAAGACTCAAGTCTCTTGGAATGGAAGTGGAAGAAAATTTTCTTGTGCAGTTCATTTTGAACTCATTACCGTCGGAGTATGGTCTGTTCCAGATGAATTATAACACCATGAAAGACAAATGGAATGTGCATAAATTGTACAGTATGTTAGTCCAGGAGGAGACCAGACTCAAGAACCTAGGAAGCCACTCTATTCATTACATGAAAAATCAAGGAGCTAAAAAGAAAGTTGTTAAGAAACATGGAAAGGGTAAAGGACCATTAAAGATTAATGAGTCCTCTACTAACATTCAGAAGAAAAATGACAAATGTCATTTCTGCGGGAAGTCTAGACATTTCCAGAAGGATTGTTTAAAGCGTAAAGCTTGGTTCGAAAAGAAAGGTGCGCATAGTGCTTACGTATGTTTTGAATCAAACTTAACTAAAGTTCCCCATAATAATTGGTGGATTGATTCTGGATGTACGACTCATGTTTCTAATGTGATGCAGGGATTCCTTTCAACCCGAACCATAAACCTAAATGAGAAGTTCGTCTTCATGGGGAATAAAGTCAAGGTTCCAGTGGAAGTTGTCGGAACTTATCGTTTGATCTTTGACACTAAATATCACTTAGACCTTATGGATACTTTTTATGTACCTAGTATCACTAGAAATTTAGTTTCTTTGTCTAAGCTTGATGTTGCTGGATACTCTTTTAAGTTTGGGAATGGTTGCTTCAGTTTATTTAAGCGTACTTATATGATTGGAACTGGTACACTTTATGATGATTTATATAAATTGAATTTAGATAATTTATATGTTGAAACTCTCATGACCTTGCATCATAATGTTGGCACTAAACGTAGTTTGGTGGATGAAAGATCTGCTTACTTATGGCATAAGTGTTTGGGATGTAACATCCTAATTCTCAATAACCCTGGTTTGTTAAATTTTGATAAAATCTTTGTCAAAATTTTAATAATTAAATTATTAGGAATTGGGTAAAGTAACTGTAGAATTTTATGTTTATTAGATTATTTATGATTTTTGGGAATTTTTAGAAAATACTCGTGTGTGTGTGCCTGAACGTTGAGTATGGACTTAACAATTTTAATTGTCACATTTAGAAATTATTGTTTTCTTTTATGCATTGAGTGTGGGTACATTAAAAGTTTATTATGTGTATAAATTGACAAGAAATATATGATGGTTGATATGGTTTGGAGTGATATTTGAGTCTTAGGAGTTGTGGGTTCAAATCTTGGCTAGAGTAAAAATGAAAAAAATAAAGATAATTTTTTTAATGTAATCCGCTGGGCGCATCAGAAATCCGCTGAGCGGATTATGTTTGAAAATCTCTCTCTTACTTGCGGCCTCATATCCGCGCACGAGAAATCCGCTGAGCGGATTGTGAGTCGAAATCTTATACTTGCGGCCTCATATCCGCTGAGCGGAATATTAGGTGAAATAGAATTCTGCAAGTTTTTCATAGGTTACTCGTTTCTCTCTTTCTCTTAAAACTTTTCTTACCTTCAAGCGTCATTTTGAGGGAGAAATCTTTGTTTCACTACAAGAAAATCGCGTATTACCGACGGATATTTACCGACGGAATTATAGCCGTCGAAAAATAATCATTACCGACGAAAATTACCGACGGATATAAAATATTTGTGAAATTTGATGTTACCGACGGATATATCCGTCGATAAAATAATAATTAATTACCGACGGATATATCCGATCGATAAATCCGTCGGTAATTTATAGATGAATTTATCGACCGGATATATCCGCTTGATAAATAATAATTAGTTACCGACGGATATATCCGTCGAGTAAATCAGTTGGTAATTTATAGATGAATTTACCGACGGATATATCCGATTCAGTAAATCGATCGATAAATTAACAAGTAATTATCGACTGGATATATCCGTCGGTAAATTCATATGTAAATTAAAAATTATTTACCGACGGATAAATCCGTCGGTAAAATTATATAATATAATTTAATTATTCACTAATTAAAAAATAAAATATTTTTTATTTAATAATTTAATTTAATCATAATTAGATTAATTTATAATAATTTATTAAATTAAGTAATTTTAAAAATAAATATTTAATTATATATAAATATATATAAATATATATATATATATATAAATATATAAAAATATAAAAATATAAAAATATATAAAAATATATAAATATATAAATATAAAATATAAAATATATAAATATATAAATATATAAATATAAAATATAAAATATATAAATATATAAATATATAAATATATAAATATATATATAAATATAAAAATATATATAAATATATATAAATATATATAAATATATATAAATATATAAAAATATATAAAAATATATAAATATATATATATATATATATATATATAAATATATATAAATGTATATAAATATATATAAATATATATAAATATATATAAATATATATAAATATATATAAATATATAAAAATATATAAATATATATATATAAATATATATATAAATGTATATAAATATATATAAATATATATAAATATATATAAATATATATAAATATATATAAATATATATAAATATATATAAATATATATAAATATATATAAATATATAAAAATATATAAAAAAAATATATAAATATATATATAAATGTATATAAA